TTGGTATTAGTAGAATATGATATATATCCTAATTACATCAACATTAGATGCCCTGTTAATACCATTACTCAATGTCATTTAAAAATCACTTGGGGGCACCTGGGTGGCTCAGTTGACCTGGGTGGCTCAGTTGCTTAAGCATCTGACCTTTGACTTCAGCTCAGGTCATGATCTCACGGTTCGTGGGACACAGCCTTGTGTTGGGCTCCATGCTGACAGCACAGAGCCTGCTTGGGATTCTCTCTCCTCTCTCTCTCTCTCTCTCTCTCTCTCTCTCTCTCTCTGGCCCTTTTGCCACCCCCATCTCTCAAAATAAATAAATAAACATTAAAAAAAATCACCTGAAGAAAATGCAAAAATAATTTTTGGAACTTCAACCTTAGGCGCTCACACATCATTTTCTTAGGAAAATGTGGCCGTTGGAAATGTTGGACAGATTTTTTTTTTTAATCCAAAGCATTATAACTTGTCTCCAACATGCCGGGAGTAAAATTTTCTATAGAAGCACTATTATAGAAAAATGCCACATGCTACGGATTAAGCACAGCTAATCACAACACATGAAAGCAAATGGAGCATGTTCTGAGGGGTGCAAATACGTTGGAACCTGTCTATCACGAAACACGGTCTGCACAATCCTTTGAAAAATAGCCCTTTTGCAAAGAGAACTTATTACTAACTTCATGGAAGTGTCTCAACTTCAAATGGGGTTAATTTTATATACATTGATAATGGAAACAAAAGACAATATGAAAACGTCCTTTTAGTTCTAAGCACCCCTCTTATTTGGGGGTGGGGAAGCTTTCAGCGATTCCATAGGTATCTCACACTTAACATATGGGAGGCAAAAAGCAGTGCCGGCTAATTCCAACACTTAAACTACTACTTAACCATCCAGCTGTTAAAAGGAGTCCAGAGGAATCGTTAGCTACAGTAAAGGGGTTTCTCAATCGACATCCCACTCTGAGGTCAACTCTCGCCACAGGTGCACTTGGCTGTGAGGAACTTGTAATGTCAGAAGCAGATATGGCTGCCAAGTTCAAGTTGCCATGACTCTGAACGTAGTATAACATTCCACTCCAAGCCAGAGCCCGTAACTCGCACGGCTGTTCTGATGAGGGCCCTTTTTGGTACCACTCTGGCTCACACCCACTGGCTACAGTGATGCAGCAGGTGAAGGACTTAAGTGTCACTAAGTTGGTTTCCAATTGCTTCCAGGAAAAAAAAAAAAAAAATCCATGGCATATACGATTCTTACATCTGACACCTGGCAAATTTCCCCTGTGTTCACAGGCTACAGAGATGGGATCTGACCATTGCTGTCATGGCCTTAAGTGCTGTCTCCCACACTTTGAGGGGTCTGAAACACAGGCACCAGGGAACATTAGCGTTTTGGAGACAAGGTGTAGGAAAACACTACATGTACCTGAAAACTCTGCCAAGCACCTCAGGCCTGACATGCCGTTTCTTAGCTCTTCCAACATCAGAACATTCTGTCTTAGGAACTGTCACCTCGACATCATATGCTGGTTTTATGGTGTTGATACACATCTACCAGAAAGGAAGCCAAAAGGAAGGACTCACCACTATCACTGTCTCCTGCAAATGATCCCCCTGCTTTGCCCCTGGGCGTTTTTCTCCACGTATTGTTCTTGGGCTGTCTAATTTGGACGGAGCATCAGTGGAGCTGAAGTTCCACAAATATTCCAATAATAAACAACAGTGCTAATTACCAGAAGGGCCCTCGAAAAGTAACAGAATAGCAAACTCACTTTAACTTGGTCTTTGTGTCTTTGGTGATTAAAAGGTCAGAATGCTACAGTTTTGTTTGCAGCGTCATTTATGTTGACATTTTCCCCAGCGGGGTCAAATCTTCAATGTGAAAATAAATCTAGAAACTTTCTGTCACACGCTTTTAGGCTGTGTCTTCCCAATGCCACCCTTTGGGAGGTAAGCACAAGTCATGGTAACTGGCCACATCCTCTATCTGTGGAGGTCTAAGAGTTAGCAGAACTTTATCTTTATGATGAAATGGCCTTTAGAAGTGGGTATTGCCAAGTTCAGAACGCGAGCATCATTACTGAGAAAGAGCACTTTCCTTTTAAACAGAGAAACCAACAGCCATGCACTACAAGGCTTGAAAAAAAAAAAAAAAAAAAAAAAGGGAGCTACCGCAAAACAAACAAATATTCAGCTCAGTTTCAGGAAGTTTCCAGAGGATCAAACAAGCCTTTCTCTATTGAAGTTGTTGGGGGAACATTTATGCTTACTTGAGCCTTAGTTCCTATTTATGCGCTGGCTTTTATACATCGACCTCAGGAGGGCATAACGACTTCAGGTTACTCACAAAGTATCTTCAGAAAAGGCAGCCTGGAAATCCCACCCCCAGCAAGGGGGAGGGGATGCATTCAAATCTGAATTTGTTTCCAAACCACTGCTCTGTCCTTGAGGCCAGGATATCTCAAAAACCGGAGAGAGGAATTCCACTGAGAGAGGGTGAGAAAGATTGCTCGTGGTGTGAACATGCCTGCTAGGAGAATGCCTTTTCTCCTGGGTGAAACTGGGAGACCAGAGAGTCTATTTGGGGAGCCCTGTTTCCACTCAGAAGAAGCTTGCCATTTTCTGCTGGTCCCTGGGGAGAGGATTTGGTGCACAGTTGAATGGTCAAGGAAATTCTCTTCCGCAATAAAGGGGGAACTACACCACCCCTTGGCAAACAATACTCCTGTTTTATAAACCTATTACTTTTTAGTTCTTGGTGTCATTCATGCTTTTCACAGTGTTTTCGTTGGTGTTTTTTTTTTTTTTTAATTTTTTTTTCTCAATGTTTATTTTTATTTTTGGGACAGAGAGAGACAGAGCATGAACGGGGGAGGAGCAGAGAGAGAGGGAGACACAGAATCGGAAACAGGCTCCAGGCTCTGAGCCATCAGCCCAGAGCCTGACGCGGGGCTCGAACTCACGGACCGCGAGATCGTGACCTGGCTGAAGTCGGACGCTCAACCGACTGCGCCACCCAGGCGCCCCTCGTTGGTGTTTTTACCCCCATTTGACGGATCAGAACATTGAGGCTCAGACAGTAAGTCCCAAGTTACACAGTAAATATAGTACGTAGGAAAGCTAAGATTCAAACCTGGGTCTTTGAGCCTCTCATGCCGGACTTCTTACTAACATGCCAGATCGGCTCCTAACTACATCCTTTCTAATAACCCACATTATGATTGGTGGGAAGAGAGAGAAACGTTTGGAAAAAAATACTAAAGAATTTAGAACGGGGAGTGGGCATGCAGTAGAGGGAAATGTGGTCACTTGGTTGTTGTTACTATGTCCCCATCTTTTCATGGGAGTATTCCTTTCAAAATCTGCATGTTGGAACTTGCTGGTGAAATTTAAGTCACATCCTGCATACGGTGCAAGTTCACATCAGAGAAGCCGAAGATGAGGAAACAGCCGGCTCTAGAGGCATCAAGTCTGAAGGATGCACACACCTAAACAGAAACACCAAATGACGCTTGCTTCTGGAGACAGTCTCCTGAAGGTTATCCATACTTTAGCAAGGACAAATCTTCAACAAGCAGAGTCTTCCTATTTAGGTATCTCCTACTACATACGTGCCTAATGTATACAGATATCCACTTGGCTTACTTTGGAGCTTAGGAAAAGCTCCCTATGCTGAACAGCTTCCCTTTTTTCATTACAATACAATGGATTTTGACCATACGATATGTGTGACTATTCAATGGCACAAAATTGATGTGCCTCCCCCTACCTGGCCCTCTTCTTCCATAACATCAATACCCTCAGGCACACAAGGCGGCTCTCACTCCAGGAGGCTTCTGGGAGCAGCGGCTCTCTGTACCCTCCTCCCACCCTAATCTTTTTTAAAGTTGGTACATCATGTCCATAAAGTCGACTATCCCTTCCAGAGTTTCGAACAGCCATTTTAGTCACCTAAATCTGAGAGAGATACATTTACAATCCACTTTAGGTTTATGTGGGGAACCATAAATATCAGGCTTGAGCCCTGAGGGCTAGAATTTCATGGGCCATTAAGCATGTCACCAGGTGGAAAGCTGTCAATAGCTGGATGTGAGTTATAGTCAGATAACCACAGTCAGCCAGGCTTAAGAAAGTGTAACCCCAATCAGAGAGGGGTGTCCTCCTGCCCGCCTCCATCTCACTCGCGCTCACCAGTTTTTCCCTCCCTCCTCTGCACTCCGCTCTTGTTGGGTCTTTAGACTTGTCCCCCGTGCTTGATGGCAGGCTGCCTTTCTCTTGCCTAGATTGAAAGGCTAGGTGACATATAGAAAGAACAGGAGATTTGCAGTGAGGTGGATCTGGATTTAAATCTCTGTTCTGCCATTTGTAGCTATGACATGATGTACAAGTTATCTGACCCCACCTTGGCTCCAGTTTTTCCCAGTTGCAAAATTATTAAAGATAGTCAATAGCGTAAGAAAGGTAGGAGTAGGGCCAATAGGTAGAGATTATAGGGAGAGAGATCTCCTGCCTAGTAGACAGAAGAACTTTCTAAAAACCAGATTGGCAAACCATAAGAGACTCTTAAAAGCTGAGAACAATCTGAGGGTTGATGGGGGGTGGGAGGGAGGGGAGGGGGAGTGACGGGCACTGAGGAGGGCACCTGTTGGGATGAGCACTGGGTGTTGTATGGAAACCAATTTGACAATATATTTCATATTAAAAAAATTTCACGAAACTAAAAAAATAAAATAAAATAAAAACCAGTCTGGCTCATAAGTATAATGGGCTGCGTTGAAAAGAAATGAAGAAGGTAACATCTTCTGTTGCAGGTTTTGTGCCTAAGCTGGATGCTGAGTGGAGGGTCCTGAGAATAGATGGGAGTTTAGCCTGGCTACTTCAAATTTCCCTGCTAATCTTCAAATCTGATGATTCTTTGATTTGCATATGTGTCCTTCCAGAAAAGCCAAGATAAATCTTCTGAAAATCCCCAACAGAGAACAGAAGTAAAGTGACATGATTTTTTTTTTCTCATTTTCCTTTTCCTTCTAGAAAACTAATCCCTCCCATGTTTTTCTCCTCCATTCAATTAGTTGGTAGAGAATCCCATTTCCACCGAGTGCTAGAACACATTTAACCATTGTGAAACACTTAACACAAACCACATGGCCATAAGTTTTCGTGACTCCCCACTACACAAATAGTTCCATTTTTAGAAAAATCAAAATTCTCTCTGCTGCCTCTTGCTCTCCTTCTCTCCATTGTTTCTGTTTGACCAGCTCGGCAGTATTCTCCCATCCTGCCCTCTTGCTGTCTGAGCCCGTGGCACCTGCCAATAAAAGTGATGACAGACTTTAATGTTCACGCAGGTTTCCAACAACAGAGTTCACTTCATAATCACCAGAGTTCAGCTGGTAAGCCTGATCTGAGTGACATCGGATTTTTTACCTGAGATGTTACACTGTGCGCTTTCATTTCTACAGGTTATGAACCACTTTGAAAGTGAATTTTTTAGCTTGCTAGGGGCAATGACCTATGAGCCTGCAGACAAATCCCAACTGATTGGGTAAAGCCCAAGCCCTTGTTATAGTGCTTGAGTTTGCTTGGAAAATTGGCTGCCACGTATGAGTCACAGACACAGGGTCGACCTCTGGGAGACACTGTGTGTGTGTGTGTGTGTGTGTGTGTGTGTGTGTGTGTGCGTGTGTGTTTTGAACATGCCTGGGACATGAAGCAGATCATAAGCGTGTCTTGCAAACAATGACTTCTGTTTGGCCAAAGTGAATATCAAGGGCAGCCTTACACTGGAGGAGGGCCATAGGAGATGAAGGCCATTGTGCCCACGGAGGGATAGGCGTGCCAAGGCTGCTCACAGAGCACTGTCATCCCTGACTGCCCATCGATCAGCCAGATCCTGGGGAAGCATGGGCTTGCACCCACACGATGTTAGTTATTCAGCTATGTAGTATTGTCCCTATTTTACACACGGAGCTCAGAAAGGTTAAATAGCCTGCTCACGGCCACATTACTCCTCCGTGGTTGTAGAGGCAAAATGTGACCACATGAGGATGCCTCTGGGCCTTGGGACTTTTCATGACACTGTACTCTTTGGGTGGCTTTTAGTGCAGAGTCTGACTGTACGTGTCTATCAGGCCATGTTTTAGCCACCCGGCCTCATTTTTGTTTTCTGCCTCTGATATTATATTTCTTGCTATTTGTAGCCAGATTATTTCTCCCGCTCTAAGTTGGTTCTCTTATTTGCTTAATGTTATAATTTATGTTTTGAATTCCCCAGGGCAATATTTTTCATGTTGACATTTTCAAAACTACAAAGAACTTGAGGGACAATTAAAGTCTCAACGAGAGCATGAACTCTACCAGGAGAACCCTGGACTTTGTGGCCAACACTTGAGATGAAGAAGTGTGTTCTCTTCTTTCCCTGTGATAGCTGCCTTTTGGGATGGTTGGGATTTAGAATGTCTATCATTTTAATCAAAGTAGCTAGTGACTCATGACTTGTTGACCAAAGTTTCTCACGGGCTAAGGAGAGAGAAGTCTTATTTCTTCCCTTTGCAAATAAAGATTCCAATCATTTCATGCTGAAATCTGGATGATGCAACAATTTAGATGCATACCGTAAGACGTTGGATGATATGGTTAATGTTCTGTTTTGGAGGTAGCATTTTATAAGAGGGAGATTTAGTTTTAACCTTGATACATTTTGAATTTAACAGACATACCCTCCCTCTCCATACCTATTTCCACTGAAACTTTATGGCTAGAATAAGGCATCAAAACCAAACAAGCAGACAAGGAAGCAAGCATACAGAAAACCTGCCCCATTTTGTCTTGCCTGTGCAACCAGAACCTATGCTCTCTAAGGTAAGCAAGGCCGTGTGCTTTGCTGCAGTAGGCTGAAAAATGGCCCCTCCTCCCCCTAAGACAGCCACATCCTAATCCCCGGAACCTGTGGTTATGTTACTTTAGATGGCAAAAGGGACTCTGCAGATGTGATTAAGTTAAGGACCTTGAGATGGGAAGATTATTCTGGATTATCCTGGTGGGCCCAATGTAATCACAAGGGTCCTTACAGGAAGGAGGCTGGAGGTTTCAGAGGCACAGAGGTAAAGTGATTATGGAAGCAGAGGGACAGAGAGAGGCTGGAAGATGCTATGTCGCTGGCTTTGGAGGTAGAGAAAGGAGCCATGAGGCAAGAAAGGAGCCATGAGGCAAGGTGGATCTAAACCTGGAAAAGTCAGGAAGCAGATTTCCGTAGAGCCTTTCAAAGGAGCCAGCCCTGCCAATGCCCTGACTCTAGCCCCACTCCTATTAGACTTGTAGGAGTCCAGAACTTTAAGAGAAGAAATCTGTGTTGTGTTAAGCCCCATACTTGTGGTAATTTATCACAGAAGCATTAGGAAATGAATGAATTTGCTTCCTATTTACATCTCTCGTGACCAGCATAGTCCTTGGCGTATAATATGGACTCACAAGTTAATATTTACCGAACAGATTGAAAACGTAAGGGAAGGAAATCATGAACACAGAATGTACCAGACATGGCAACATTGAGTGGTTTAAAAAACTCCCGATTTCTGAGGACAAGAAAGACATTTTTTTTTAAGGCTCCACTGGGTGTACAAGCTACCCAGTTATTCATGACATGACCCCAGAATTTACGCAGCTGTGTATAAGCTCTTCAGGTCCAGCAAGCTCTTTCCTGGGGGCAGGTGGAAGAGACCACAGGCCACGATAAAAAGCGTTTAGAGGCCAATTCCTTTGCAAATATCTATTCAGTGCTTCCAGGGGTTCAAAGCACCAGGGAGACAAGGAGGAAGAAAAGGCAGCATCCGTACTATGCAATACAACTAGCAAATACCAGCACCTTGAAGAATATACAGTAGGCACTCAGCAAGTAAATAGCAGAACGAATGACATGCGGAGCCAGTGTATAAACATGAGCGCTCCCACACCCCCTTGCCAAAGCCTTCTACAGCAGAAGTCGGTCTCCTCCCAACTCTGCCTTCTATGCATCCCTGGATGTTAACTTCAACCAGATTTCATAAACGAAAGAAGAGCAAAGGAGAGAACCCTCCACCCTCAGCCACAGATGCACATACCACACATATTTTGGCCACAGAGACGGCAGACCACAGCGATATACCTCACCTTTTCTGGGACTCTCTTTTGTTCGGGTATTGCAAGTCTTTTAATTTAAAGAAAAATAAATTAAGCTACTCTGGCTGACGAAAGAGAATCGTTTCCCCAAGGAACTTATTAACACTTAATGGTTATATTAGTGATTTACTTCTCATCCAGGATTCTTTTCGGTTTATCATAGAGGTAAAATCAATACCTTCTACCAAAGTGGAAAAACTTAGGTGATTCATTGGTGAGATACAGGAACAAAGGAAAATTAATGATAAAGACTGAAAATAACTTTAGTTCTTCCAATTCAAGATCTAACTGACTCTCCGGATCATAATTTAGGAAGACGGAGACCTTGGGGATCATCTAGTCCTGTTTTTTTCACTTCGCAGATGAGGAAAGGTGGGGCCCATTTGGAGGTTGCCAGGTCACACTGGCTAGTGGACTCAGGCCTAGGGCCCAGGTTCTGAGTCCGGGATCCAGCGTGCATCCCCATCTGCCTTGCTGCCTTAGATGACTGTACCAGGAATTTGAGGCACACAAAAAGAAGCAGACACCAGTCTTACCTTTAAGGTGTTTACAGTCTAGGGGAGATAATACATGTATATAGAAAATATGAGCTTACAGAGATAAGCTCAACATAAGAGTTATAGATGAAAAAGGAATCTTTAGGGGCACCTGGGTGGCTCGGTCAGTTAAGCGTCCGACTTCAGCTCAGGTCATGCTCTCACAGTTCATGAGTTCCAGCCCGCATTGAGCTCTGTGCTGACAGCTCAGAGCCTGGAGCCTGCTTCGGATTCCATGTCTCCCTCTCTCTCTGCCCCTCCTCTGCTCGCACTCTGTCTCTCTCCCTCTCAAGAATAAATAAACATTAAACAATTTTTTTAATAAAAAAAGGAATCTTTAAATCCCATGAAATTCCTTTGTAATTTTTAAAAAAATAGTAATCAAACTTGTTAAACAGTGAAATTATTCCTTTTTCGAGATTCCTTGGAACCAAGTATTTGGACTATAATTTAGTTAAGGATTTCACAACGTGCCCTATTTGAGCATCTGATTTGAAAAAAATAAACAAGCAAGCCAGACCACACAATGCCCGTTGAATGAGATCTTCTGGGCAGGTATCTCCCCATCTGCCCAGGCAAGTCAAACCAAATGAGGCACTGGGTCAAAAAGGAAGGAAGAGTAAAGGATAAATCCATTGACCACCACCCCAGGAGGCCAAGAGACTCTCTCCTCCCCGTTAGTCGTGACTGGCTCTAAAATAAAAATAACGTACTCAAGCTGTGATAGAGGAAAGGTCTTGGTTTGGAACCCAACTACAAAGTATTAGCAAAGAGAGATTATTACCCACTAGAAACTCTCTTTTTGGTATAATTAGAAGAATAGAAAGACCACTGAATAATGGGATTTGTGAGAAATATGGGTCATGTGTCGGCAGCACTACTTGCTTGCAAAATTGGCTATGTGAGTTGGCACATAGCACCGTGAATATTAGAAACCACAAATCTCCAGAGTTTCCTGAGCAAAGTAAAAGGCCTTGTCTATGGATTGACAGGTTGGAGGTCAGCTCATGTAACAAGTCTCTGGGTAAGCTCCAAAGCTACCTATGAGTTTCCTATTTTTCTTTTTCTTCTTTTCCCCCCCTCTTCCTCCTCATCCTTCACCTCTCCTCTCCCCCTTCTTCTCTTATTCTGGATATGGGCATCTTAGTGGGTCCAACTGTGGCTTATGACGCTTCTGCCAATCCCCCAGAGAAAACAGGCCCTCTCCATATCAATGACCAACTAGGAATCCACAAGCAGCTCTGGATAATGGGAAAAGCATATTCCCACGAACAAAACCAAGGGAAGCTGATTCTTTTGCCCCTGGAAGACTAGAGGACTTACTCCCTAGTTAGATTATACTGCAGATGAAAATCCTGAGAAGGAACAAACCTCCCTGTACTGACAACAAAGCCAATCCTTGAGAAGCTTAGCCATAGTGGGGACCTCTGAAAAACTTCCCTTTGGGAGCCTGAAATGGCAGTCAAGTACTTCCCTATTTTTATCTGTCTAATCATAGACTCCTCTATAGGATTATGGTCTTGAGTTCTAAGTGAGTTAAGTCAATGTCTTCTAGGAGGTATACTTTATGAAAAGGGTAAAAGATTAAGTGAAATTTCAAATTCTCAGGATCAAG